CAAATTGCAAAGATGGTGACTTCTGAATTTATTTAAATGACAATTGCAACATACATACATTTGTGCCCCAGGCAGCAAACCATTGGCATGTTATCTTCTAAAACATTAGTGTTAATGATTTAATTACTATCAATATTTTTCCTTTCCCATCTCAATCTTTTTGTTGCTGTTGTTCTAATTATTGAAATTATAATGAAGAGCCTCATATAGTAGCTTAGACCACCAGAGGGACACAAGGGTTTTGCCCCTCATTCCCATACCTGCTCTTGAAATTCTTCAGGACCTCTTCTCTTGTCCTTTGATTTATGTACCAAAAGGGTATCTCTCTAATCACAAAGCAAAACCACAGAGGCATTTTTTTAGCATTTTATGCCGCAGTAAGTAATTTGCAGGAGGAAAGAAAAGAATTAATTAGGCAAGAAATATGAAAAGCATCAAAGGTTAAAGTAAGACTCAAGGTGGTGTGATGCCTGCTACTTCTTTTGTGTGCACCAGCAGATATGAAGTTTAACTCCTGTGTGGGGTCATGTCTTCACCATGGAAGAAAATAGATATTCTCCTAAGTAGGGCTATGTTGGAAGGGTCTCAGATTGGTTCCAGACATTAAAAATTGCAACTAGTTCCTAACTGGCTGTTGAAGACCACCTACCCAAGATACCACACCATCAACATTTCCTACCCCAGCAGCTGCTTTACCTCAGCTCTTTCAAAACCAAACATCTTTGGCCTAGGCTTTGGCTCTCATAACTGAAACTAAATTTTACTTTGATGTTACTTCCCATGGGGGAAGCTAAATGTCTTCCTGCTATACCTTGGACTCTGGCTGGGTCTGAAGATAATCGTTGCTTGGGGCTTGACTTTCCAGCAAGAACAAATCAGGAGAAAAGACAGACAGACAAAGCAGTGGAGCTGCAAGTCTTGACTTGAGCATTCCCAGTGGAGCTGAAAATCTTGACTTGAGTATTCCCTTCAAGCAAGGTGGTTCCCCTGGCAGCCTGTGATGGCCTCCCAGCCCAAACCCCAGCTACTTTTAACCAGGAGCTTCTGCTGGCTCTTTGACATGCTGGGATAAGCAAAAGTCCCACAGGATCCCTCTGAAGTGCCCCACAGTGTCATCACCCTGCCCTGGGAGACCACTAAACCAATGCAGTGAGCAGCCCCCAGGTAAAAGTGGTCAGGCTTTCCAATAGGCTGTGTAGGAGGTTTGGACACGCAGTCACATTGGTATTGGCAGATAGCAATGCACTCTAGAAGACTTTCTGTCTGTTTTCCATTACCTGTAAGTAGCCCCTCAGCCCCCTCCTTTCCCACCATAACTAAGTGTCTGAGCACCCCTGACTGAAACCCCTTAATTGGGTCCTGGAGAAAGAAACCAGCTGGCCTGCTGAGGCATTTCTCAGTATCCCAAACTCATCCTCATTTCCTTTCATTACATCTCTACCTGTCATGTTCTTTGCAGAGAAAGGAACAAATGCAGTCATTAGAGTGCAGTGAGTGCTCCCACCCGAGCCTCCCACCCCTTGCTGCTTGCATGGACTCATGGAGATTTCACTAAAAATGTGTAATTAGGTTCTGCAAAGTCACTTCCTGACCATACACAGTCTTTTCAGTGCAGGAGACCTTAAGTCGTGGTGCGTGTGTTTTTGGAGCCACTCTTGAGTGCTGCTTCATTTTTCTAGCTTTTGGTTACAAAGTTATATTTACTTATCTTTTTACATCAAAGCCAAATCCATTTTGAAAAATCTTTGAGTCCATGGATAATGTCACTTACTGGCCTGGATTTTGTGTATTCTGAAAAGGTGTTATAGAAAATAGCTATAGATAGGCTGTGTTGAAAAAAGCTGTGTTTGTGCATGAGCTTGTATGTGTTTGTCTGTCCATCCATGTACTAGTCTGCCAGAATACATAAAGAAATTTCATCCTGAGCCGGAGTTGTTTTAAACATGCCCCTAACACAGGGTGCACCAAAACTCATTCTGTGCTGAATCTGTGCCAAAGTGCTTTTCAGTAAAATTGCAAATTAACTTAATGCCTCTTGTGAGCTTAAAAGTATTTTTCTTCCCCTCTCTACTCCCTCTCTTCAAGTGGCGTCTGCTGGTTATGGACCATTTATGGTCTTTTAACCATTACCATTGTCATGATGGAGTTGATGAGTCAAGGCGGAGTGTTCTTCAAAAGCATACAGACTCAAAATTGATCCAGCTTCCTTAAGACAAGTAATGCAGATTGGAGTCCTTCTAACACAAACGAGTCATCCTCCCTCACAGTGTCCTTCCTTCTGGGCTCTGAGAGCTGCCTGAGGTCTGATGAGTTGTGTTCTCCAGGACTGTTGGCTAGAGAAGCTGAAGTCCAGTATGACTGTGTCCTGCTCTGGCTGTAGCTTTGCAGATCAGGGCTGAGTGCCTCACCTGACAGTGAAAGCAGTGAAGACAGAGGTTATACCTGCACAGTAGGAAAACATCTCCTGCCTTTTCATGGTAGACCTTTTACATCAGCAAGCTGTCTAAGCCTGATATGTCCTTGTGAAAAATTCATGGATCAGGCAGGTCAGATCCTACTCTAGGGGGAAATAAAGAAAAGCAAGCAAGTAAGCATTTTATGATGATCTTTTTTTTTCCTATCCCCAGTGTTAGGAGATTGTTTGTACACTGATGGTAGTTCCAGGATTGGCCACAAGCCCCTGGCAGGCAGTGCTTTTCTTGGAGAGCAGAGCTTCTGAAATGAGAAACAGACAGGGAAAATAAAGACAGTCTAAAACATACAAACAAGTAGAAGCTGATGGGCCATCACGGTGGTTTCTTGTTCCTTTTGTGTGGATGCTTCCTGCTTGCACTCCTGGTGCAAGTTCCACCTTAGCTGCACTCACACCTCCACACAACCTGAAGCCTTCGAAGCATCATAGTTGCATCTGATCACAGGCTTACAGTACAGTTTTTTTAATATTTTTATATGTTGAAGAAAAAACTCAGGACACTAATAAATACATTGAGCTACCTAGAACATTTCATTATATGCCTTTGTTTTTCAGCTTTCATGTAGGAGAAGAGCTAAACAGCTAAAATTTTAAAGATGTACTTAACTATATACACCACACCAGCAGAAAGTCATGCACTCAAACTGAAGGAAGAGCAAGCAGTGATATCATGGGTGCTCTGTTTTTCACAATAAGCACTTTTCTCTCTGGTTAAATAACTATTGGTGCCGATTTTGTCACACTTCATTGCATAATGCCCAGTCCCAGGTCTTTCTGTTTTCAAGCACTGTTTTCTCAAGGAAGCTCTACACAAATCTAAAAAAAAAAAAAAATATATATATATATATAAAATCAGCAATTCTGAGGTTATTTGGATCCCAGTAAGTGGTGGGATCCAAAGCCAATGTGGATCTTACAGTGTTTATAGCAGGCTTTGCCTCTCTGACATATTTTAGCTCCTACGAGCTAAATCCCATGTCATTCATACCTGTCCTACTTGCCTAGTTCACAGCAGGGCTTGTTAGCTTGGCTGGTGGCTCAATCAATCCACCACCAGAGATTTTGCAGACTCAGGAGACAGCAGGGTGAGCTTTTTCCTGCCTGTGGACATATTCCCGGACAAAACCCGGGCGAGTCTTGCTGTGAGGTTGTCAAGCCTCTGTAACTCTACGGGTGTCTTATATATTTTAGGTGTCTGCATTGCAATGAGATTTTGTGGAATTTGATATGTTTGTTTTACAGAGGAAATATCTTGGCACGAGTAGAAGGAAACATGGGAGAAAAAGCAAGACAAGAGTCTCTAAGAGATGAACTAGTGCAAGTTTTTGCTTTGACTGCAAATCCTTTTCTTACACACCTACATTCCCAAAAGATGCTGTGGGGAAGTAGGGAGGCAGATGTGATGGCAGGGACCGTACATGTAGTGAGGAGCTGAGGAGAGGGTGTTTAGGCTCAGTGCTCTTTTAAGACATGGCACACCATGTTGCCCATGTAAGAGTCACGCTTTTCAGGCACACTCTCTCAAGATCTAGGCACAAGTACAAGGAGGTGGTTTGAAATTACTACATATGTCTTCTTGATATATTTACACTCCCGGGACCACCCACATCACAGGATTTGTCTAAATTGCTCACCATGCTTTCTTCTGGAGTCAAGACAAAATTACAGATTCTCTTTTTTCCCAAAATGCAAGAAAAATTAACAACTTCCTGAATTATTATTGTTATTACACAGGCATTTTTTAAAAATAGGTCCTATTCTTGATGACCTTTCAAGCACTGGAGGAAATCTTTGTACCTTTGCTACTCCTATTAACTGCTGGTTACTTAATCCTAGGTTGTAAAAAAAAATGAAGTAGAGGTAAAACCAAACTCCTCTTTTTTTGTGAGCCAGCTCAAGGAAGCTGAGGAAAGGATATGGGAAGGGAGGATGAAACACTCGTTAGAAAGATGCATTATTTTCTATGTTTATATGACAGTGAAATCCTTGTGGATGCTTATGTGCACTGAGACAATATATTTTAGTTTTAATTGTTTCAGTCAATGTCAATTTTACATCAAACATGCAATAACATAAAAATGGCCTTTGGGAAACCTCACTGAATCTTACTTTGTGCTGCAGTACTGCCAGTGTAAATATCTACTTCTGTTTTGTAAGCTCAGAGCCAAATGGAGCAAAATTTTCCTTTCAGAGAGATTACTGACTTGTCAGCATCAAAAATATTATTTTTAGCATGTAAAAATTGTTTGTCAGTGATTTTAATAACAAGAGTCTTTGCAAAATTCATTTTATTCTAGTAAACATTTTTCCCTTAGGCAGCAGTAGTAGGAAAAGAATTAAGAAGTTACTTGATAGCAACTGGGTAAGGAAAAAAAAACTTAAAGAAAGTATCACATCTACAGAGTTACTGGTATAAAATATTTTTTCATTCAACTTAAATTATTAAGTGCTAACTGTTGCTCAGGAAAAAGCATCAGGTCTAAAGCATATTGGTAAATTATAATTTATTCTGCTGCTTGCTTTCCAGAATGCTAGAAGATGACCTCAAGTTAAGCAGCGACGAAGAGGAGAATGACCAGGTAAGAACCAGACGACAAACATGTCACTTGTAGCATGTTTCAAGTTGAGACTGAGCTACTGTAAATATTTTGCTAATGCTTTTTCGAAACATACATAAAGGTTATCAAAATACATGGCAGTACTGTAACTGGAGTAACAGATGTTGCTGCTCAGAGCCAGCCAGCGTGTGCTAACTGCTCTATTGGTGGGGAACCGTCTGCAGTGCTCTTGATTTATTACCCTGATGCGACCCAGAAGGTTTTTGTACCAGTCTCCTTCTGATTTGAATTTGTTTTGTTTTAAAGAGCGGCCAAGGAGGGGAGGAACAGGAATTATGGATTAAGGCTTCAGGCCAGACCTTGCAGGCACAAGATGGCCCCAAGGGTTAGCTGCTGGGCTGCTCCCCACTTACCTGCCTAAAGCTTCACTGGCATCCCCCCCCACCCATTGCCTCTCCTGTGAGTGTTTGTGATCCACCTCTGTGTGGCCCACACATGCTGAGAAAGCTAAGGACAGCTGAAAGAAAGCCTTGGCTGTGCATTTGGTTCCCTCCATAACACAGCAATTAGTGCACTTGCCTGGATTTTAACGACCTCAGACTACCTGACTGGGAGCAGATACATCACCCAAAGTTTTCTAAGTGTCTGGAGAGCTGGGTTTTGTTGGCAAGGGTGAGGTATCTCCTAATTTGCCCTTAAGGCACTGCTGTGTTTTGTCTAAATAATTAAGTATTTGCTAGAATAGGGCTGGATCTTTAATTTCCCGTGATGGGCCAGGCACCTCATTGCCAAGCAGAGCTGTACCACGCTCTTTTCTTCTCAGTGTACTGGCATGAGTGATTTGGTTGGGGATGAGAGGGCAAGAGCCACTTCCATTGTGTCTTGCACTGAAATGCATATCCCATGCCTTCACTGAAGTATATGAGGGCAGTACTGCCTCTGGTTGCATCTCACAGATGGATTTGGACCTGGATATAACATGGGGTTTAAATATGATTATTTCAATCAAGGATAACTGGAGCTATCTAGACTTCTGAAATTCAGATAAATAATAAAAAGATAAATAATTCCAGATATTTAGGCATGAAGCTTTTCATGGGTTTTCTTTAACTCTTGTTATTAGAAGTCTCTATTTTGCGATATATTCCAAACAGCAAGTAAATCAAAACCTTTTAATATGTATACTGAACCATTATTTCATCTATTCTGAGCAAAGCTTCTTGGTGTTAAGAAGATGCAGCACATAGATTCAATTATTTACATATTTATACAATTTCTTTTTCTTTAATGTGCTTCATCTTGAAACACTTCACATTTAATTACTCTTCCTGCTTGTCTAGATAGTTTAAAATACAGTGCTTAGACAGTATAGGGCAAAGTAAAGTGAGGGACAGTTGGGATGTCTGAAGAATAACAATAGCACACCAAGACTGCAGTGAGGGGCTGAGTGGGAGGGAAGAGCCAGCAGTCAAGAGAGATGGCTCATCCTTCAGATAGGAAGAGAGATGGGGTCCTGCATGAGGGATGTTCATGTGGAACAGTCTGGTAAAGTCTGAACACTGAAATTCTGGTTTGCTTCATAGCAAGCAGAAAAAGACATGTGAAAGTGTACACAGTGCAGGAAATAACACCAGTAGATTTAGGCAGAGAAGGAACAGTGGAAAAGTACTGCTGTTTGGGCAGGGTACCTTTAGTTTAATGCTACCACTGGCAGCTACTAATATCTTCCATGCACTTGGAATGCTCAGTATTATGTGTGATACACAAGGTCTTCGCCCAGTAACCAGAGCTCTGAGGTACAGCTGATACAGCTGGATCTTTTGCCTTGGTGCATGAACAAACTCAGCAGAGCTGGGACTGAGTTTGCCACCCTCGTGACAAAAAGTGGAGCTGAGATCCCATTACTCACTTGTAATCGTCACCAGCCATAGTGCAAGAAACCTTCTGCAATTACTTTGTGATTTGGTCCCCTTTCCTAGTCACTTTGTTGTTGTTGTTGTTGTTAACTTGACTGTACCGACAAAAAACTGGATGCATAGGCTGGCTCCTGCTATATGAAATGCTTTGCAGAACCTCATCTGAGACCTGCTGATTTGCTTAATGAACAATCCAAAATAAATATGCCTGCTGGATAAACAAAACAGTACCTAGCAGGAAATAGGCCCCAAAAAAAGAATAACACAGACCCCCTCTGCCAATAAATGCACGGATTACAACACGGATCTGTGTCTAAATGTCAGTGGGAGAACCTGTTTCCTTTTACTTCCTAATTCTGAGGTTCTTTAATCTCAGATCTCCTCCTGAGCTTGGGAACAGGAAAGAAGAAAATCAAAGATGAAGGGATAGGAACAGTATATGAGTGATTCCCAGATATTCCTTATGTAATAAGGAATCAGAGCAATCAGATTCATTTTAATAGTCAAATTTCTCAAAGAGCTGAAGGGGAGCTGTACAAGAACTGGGAAGCTTTTAATTTTGCTAGTTTCTAAATGGCAATGTTTAGGGGAAAGACCGTGAAAACTTCAGAGGAGATTTTCTCTTTGCATCTGAAATCACCAAGCAGCAACTGGAAAGTTTCTGAAGGGTTGGAAAGGGGGACAGGTGCTCCCACACTGCCAGGGCTGGCATTTGAAGGTCTCTGACTGACCCAGGGAATGTGAGCCGTGGATGAGGGAGGCCAAATGCAAGATAGAGGCATGATTAAGAGCTTCAGGACTAGCAGTGGACCAGGCATTCCCAATCCTTCCCTCCGTGCCAGCAATTAAGGTAGTGAGGTTCACAGGCCCAGGAGAGGCAAGAGAGGCTGGGTTGTGCTGAGTGTGTGTGCACCCACAGTAATTACATTATCCACACATATTAGTCTCTTAATTTTAATTACATAAATGTATTTTTCCTCTTTAATGAGCATAGTTTATCCATTTAAACTGATCATTTTAATTTTACAGGCGGTGATCATAGGATCTAATATGCAGAGGGAAAATTTCCTGTTGGCATATTTTACATCACACAGATTGAAGAAAATATACTTTTTAATCCCCAATCAATATCTGAAGAGCATGCAATTAACAGATACCAAGGTAGTTAACATAAATCTGCAAGTTAAAGAGCCAATTCATTTTGATTTATAACACATAGAGTAATAATTTCATCATCATCTCTCCCAGAAAGCATCTGAAGCTTCGTAGCATGAAGATGTCAAAATTGTACTTAAGATTGTTCAGAGTACTGAATTGTAGTGGTTATTGCCTTTTGGTTCTTTGAAGTGTGGCATAGCACATGAAACTGTCGCCGTTATAATACCCTGCTCTTCTCCATAGAGGTCACTGGATAACTTAAATCAGTCTTGGGTGAAATATTAAAAGGAGATTGTCAATTGTAACATGAACAAATCTCTTTTTATCCCCCTACTTGTCCTTTTACAATATGAAAATTTTGTAATAGAAGTAGTTCCTTTAAGGGGAAAAAGATCCCTGGCATCATTTGTGCAATTCATGTCAATCAGTAGCCAAATAAATTAACTGACTGGTACACATACATGGAATAATAATCTAACATATTTTTGCAACCCAAGTCTGCTTCCTTGCATGCATTTTTTCTGCGCGGGATCAGGTTGGTTGCCACTGAAGTTTTGTGGCTGTGAAAATTTATTACCCACAGAGTCAATCTGCATTCTGGCTGCCAAGCCTGAATAAATAGAGTCATTGTGCTTGTCTGGAATATGTATCCAAAGTTCATACAGTCAGCTTGACTTTCACATCCCAGGGGATTCATAAAAGCCAACACCCTGGTATGTGCTCTTGGTTCCTGCCAAAATTTTGTAAAATTGTATAAACAGAAGTTGAAGAAGCAATCAGAACACGCTCCCTGGGACATGGCTCCACAATCCAGCCCCTGGTGTATCTCAAAAGGAAAGACCCAACTTAAGTACCTTTTTTTCTAAATTATTTTTATTTAAATAGTTATATGACTGTTCCTCTGCAGCAGCAGGTAGATGTAGGGGCAGAAGACACCCCCTGTGCACAGTGCACAGGGAGGCAACAAACAATCCTCTCAGGTTCATTAATTTAGCTCCTGTGCCCTGCACCAAAGGAAGAGGGAAGGTGGCATTTGCCTGCAAGCAGCTGCCCTCCTTAAGAGACACGGACAGGCTGGGGGGGCAGGGTCTGAGCAAAACCAGCCCCTTTGCAGGCAAGCCAAGACAAACAGAAAGCCATGTCCCTTCACAGGAGACCTCAGGGGAAGAGCAGCCTCAAGAAAGTTTACCAGGAACAGCTTCAGCGCAGTAAAATAAAAGTCTCAGCAGCTTGGTCTGGCTCACCACCCAGAGCCCCACAGGGTGACAGCAGCCCACCCAGCCCGGTGCCTTCCTGGGGGTCCTGGGGCTGCCCCCTGCCCATGGCAGCCTGGGGACAGCCAGGGTGGGTTGCTGGTCGTGGGGACCCATCCATGCACTGGCAGCACCCTGGCTGTGGCTGAGATGGGAAGCTTGAGGCTATTTCAGCCTGCACCCACAGCTATGGTAGGGACATATGTGCATGTGTTTCCTGTTCATCACGTATATGCTTGAGGGATGGAAGGGCTCCGTGCTAGAAATCCATCTTCCCAGCAGGACTGTCTGCAGCACAGGAATTTAGGATCAGCCAAGTCCATCCTTTCACTGCAACAGGACAAATGTCCATCTACTTGGCCAATGGCAATCTTTGTGGCCCTGTCCCTCCATAAATTGCATTAGGAAATTATTCATTTTTTAAATGTCATAAAGTCATGCTTCATTTCTTTAACCATACCCAGAAACAAGAGAGAAATAATGTATTTAAAGACAACCTTTTTAAGAACATGTAGGACTTTTCTCTCTTACTTCTGTTTGTGAACTGACAGTCAACAAAAAGATAAAAATTATCCTGAAATGAACGTTCAGGCATATACCTTCTTCCAGAAGGGATATTTTTTAGTACAGTCTATATAAGCACTACTTCTGCATTTCAGATGTAATATTCCAGCTAGTTGGAAGCAATCTGTAA